TTACTACTCTCTCTCTCTCTCTCTCTCTCTCTCTCTCTCTCTCTCTCTCTCTCTCTCTCTCTCATGTATCCATACATCTAGAGGTCGATATGTTCAATTCTTTTAGTGGATTTTCGAGGTTCACCTTTAATAGTGCAAGGTTGACACCTTGTATATAAGTCACATAAATTTCGGCTTTATATCCATGATTTAAAATGTCGGTTTTAAAATAAGAACAAGGTTTGTATAAGATGTCAACCTCATTATTGAAGTAGGCTACACCTCAAATTATGTAGATAGAGCAGACCTGTAAAAAAATAATTTTTTTGAAAATGGATGGCCAGATAATACGTTACGAGATACGCTATATTTATGACTTGAAATCCTAATTTTAAAGAATATATAATCTCTAACATGCATATCATTAATGTGTAAAATAAATAAATTTTAAAAGCTAAAAACGATATTATTTTCAATGAAATAATTAAACCATTAATTTTACTTTTTCTTTGAAGGGACCATTGTTTACGCCTATTTCTAGATGGATGGTTTATACCTCAAGGGAAAACAAATGTAGGAATGTGTTCCTAGATGCATATAATGTAAGGACCCGGACTTTTAGCATATTGTAGTAAGCCGGTGAGCCGTCGGCACGAGGGAGCTGGCACGTTCGTTGAGAGCTCGGGCAAGCGGATTCGCGAGGGTGGATGCACGTTAGAGTGCACGCGCTGGTAGATGAGTATGTGAAGAGCGCGTGGAGGTAAGGGCGCGGTTAAGCGCCGAAGAGCACAACGAACGCGCAAGAAAGCGCGAGTGGATGAAGCGTACAGATGAGCGTAGGCAGATGTGTGTGCACGATGAGTGCGCGGATGGGTGTGTGAGTGCGTGCGATGAGTGCGAGGATGGGCGAGTGTGCGCGATGAGAGTGTGGATGGTTAAGTGTGCTATTGAGTGCGAGAGAGTGCGATTGGTTGAACGTGCAGTTGGGCGTGGGTTGATGAGCGCGTAGTTGTGCGTTGGTAGTGTATAGTAGTTTAGGGAGTTTCTTCTCTCTCATGTTTTCTCTCTCCCCCTATGTGTCAAGTGGCAAAGGCCTACTGTACCAACAATGATGCTTGTCTCCCATGCTTGCTGAGCCCATATTAATGATGTCCCCCATGCTGACCCTTCTCTCTCTCTTTTTGCATACCACTTGTTATTTGTGTGATGCCACTTGTCCCATGTTGCCACCACTTGTCTATTACATGCTGACACTATATGTGATTATTTATATACCTCATCACCCATGAAATAGCGCTTCTATCTCTCACACACATTCACCTCTCCTCCCTTTGTCATTTGACGTCTCCAAGCCTTGTCCCTTAAGTTTGGACCTTAGCCATTGGAGCTAGGCAGTCAAGGTGAAGTTGGAGGAAGACTTTAGAATTTTATTTGCAGTAGGTAAGTAGATCTAGTTTCCATGTTTTCCTATTTTTATTTGATACATGCTATTTAGATCATCAAAGTGTGAAGTCCAAGCATGAATATGGATGTGATGGTAAATATATGTGTCAATGTATGACATTGAGATCTGGCTAGAGTGTGCTCTGTATTTTCCAAAACTGTGACTCTTATTCGTGTGATAGGTAGAATATTGAAGATATCTATGTTGATTATGAACTTTGGTGGGAAAGACCACCTGTGAATCTATTTCAAGATGGAAAAGACCTTGTTTTAATATCTATTTTAGTTTGGATGTAATTAGTCATTTTATGAAGTTTGTCAAAACTGTGAAATGGAATTCCAGGGATTTTACGTACTTTTGTGTGGGGCTTTTCACATGCCAAAACATATCATAATGATGTCAAACCAATTCCAAGGATTTTATGTATTTTTGTATGGGGCTTTTCACTTATTAAAACATATCATAATGAGGTCAAACCATTTCTAAATGAAATATTCATGAGTCTATTTTAAAGACTGTTTTGGAATAGAGATGAAATTCCATGTAGTTTAAAAGTTATACCCGTTTTTATATTAAGATGTCGCCCTGTGTTTTCTTTTGTAAAGACTGGAGTTTT